AAAAATTAAAGCTTGAAATCTATAATATTGGAGAAATGCTGCTAACCAATCCTTGGGCTGTTAACGAAACAGAAAAGAAGACGGAGAAATTATGCACTGTTAAGCTCTTTTAATAAGCTATACAGCGTGCAATGACAATGCTCATACGCCATATTATTTTACCCAAAACAAAGAAACAAACATTCTATTGTTATAGTTGTTATAAACTTCTATAACTTTATTGTAGATACAATGTAGTACAACTTTACATGTAGAATTATTATTGATTGTGGACAGATTTCTAATGGTGTAATAGATGACTGTGGCTTTACCCCCCGAAGAGTTTATTTGAAAAAAAGTATGGATTGTGAAAATTTTTTTGGAAAATCGATACTACAAAGTTGTCAAGAATGATTTATCTAATTTATTATATTTATTTAAATTATATAATTATCTTGCTTATCTAATCATAATATCAATCGCATAATATAATAAAAACACCGACGAATACATACTTTAATTTTGTCATATAGTATTTGGAGTTTAACATAATACTCTTATGCCTCTAACAGGGGACTAACAGGGGGACGCACTATCCCCATTATTATTCAACATAACCATAAAAATAGTGGTAAGAGTTTTTCAAAATGAAGCCAAAGAATAAGCGTAAATGAATATCATATAAAAGTATTTGGTTTTACAGACGATATTAACATTTTAAGAAACTCTCAGAGATGATACAGTGAGAGCTACTGAAGCATTGTAACGTGCAGCAGAAGGTGTTACACACAAACGAAGAAAAAATCACTAATGGAACTGTAAGACATTGAAACATCGCTAGATGTATTTAAAACCTTACTGCATGAAAAATTTGAAGGGTTTCAGTATCTATGTATACTAATAAATACGAAAAATGTTGGTCCCGTGAGATCGGGACGAAAATATCATAACAAAACAGAGAAAGTGTTTTTCGTCCTATTAAAGTTCTAAGTTTAAATTATTTTCAAAACAAACGAAAATAAGACTATACACATCAACAATAAAGCCGATACTAATATATGGTTGTGAAGTATGGATCCCCACAAGTGTAACACAATGAAGATTGAAGACGTCTGAAAACAAACAATTGAAGAAGATATGCAGCCCGGTCAGGGTTGCCAGTGGCGTAGGAAATTCATCCAATTAATGAATTCATAAATAGTTAAAGGGTACAGTGGTTAGGACGCTTAATACTGAAGCAGTTACCAAAATGGTATTTAATTGGAAACCGGAAGGAAAAAAGCCTCGGAGTCATTCTCGAAGGAGATTAATGGATGTTGTAGAAAAGAATTTTGAAGACCTTAAATAACTGAATTGAAGGGAAATAATACAAGATCTAAATTAGTGGAGTGATTTGGTGATGGTAGCGAAAACTCTTAGAGAGTTATGAAGGCCAGAAGAAGAAGAAGAAGATTTTTATAGACTTAAATACATGCCATTTAATTGAAATTATAGCATGGAACATTATTTTACATTAAAGAATACAATAATAGTATCCTCTCCATTGCCGAATGTCGCTGTATCGTGGCCGCGAGCGTTGGTTATTACATATAGAATTAATTTTCTATGTATTTTTAGTCTTACAATGTTGAATAATATTAGGTGTGAAATATTGTAAACGGGTCTCTAAAATTTAAGTCTAAGAGTAAGGGGCTCGTATTTTAATTGGTGTTGCTCAAACTAAATGTAATTTATTTAAAAGTATGAAGTAAAAAATAAATCATGTTTTGTAATGGAAAAGATAAACCTAAATTTTCTAAATTTTCGTGCAAAAAACTCATTATGATAGTACAACAGCTGCAGTTGACTACCAATGTATAAATCATAAATAATTGTAGCTACCTGAGAGAAATATACGAGACCAAAGGAAAACATATTCATTGGAAGTAATATATTACAATATTAAATAAAAAAAATTAAATATAGGTTTATTTTACTATTTATATATTATAATTCATTAACTATACCTACATGTTTTGTTAATATAGGGCCCAAAAGTATTGTAGGAACCCTCTGAATTATAGGTCTATGGTATTACTAATATATATTTTTACCAGAAAAGGAACATAATTATTTATTATTAATATTTTCCCGTTTACACGTGCGGTAAGCGACTTCGTTGGTCAAAGTCGAAAAAAATTATATATTTGTATATTACAAACTACAACACACTTCACATTAACTTAACAAAAAATTAACCTATTTTTCTAAGCCGAGTAACAAGATATTACTACTAAGCAAAATTAAAGTTTTATTATTTATGTTAAGCTTAAGGTTACGATTTTTAAATTTTCGAAATAAAGGTTCCAGTTAAGTTTACGATTCCTACATTTTTAAGATTAACCTGTTCCAAAGCATTTCGGTTCCGTTTCTAGTCCCTGGTTTAATTTTGTTTTGTTACGCAATTAAAAAATTTTATTTTTATTAAATTAATTAATCATTTTTTGTAATATATTTATTTTTTATTTTAAAACTACATTTATCTGTTGTATAATTCGTAAACAGTTCATTAGTGTAATCTGGGGTGGTTTTTGGTAGTATTCGGTTACATTATTTGTGACATCGAAAAAATGTGCTAATTTACTCTAGTGTAATGTATATTTCCGACGAATAGTTCTACTGATATAAGACATACTGGTAGGGCAGATCGGTATGAGTAGGGGATAGCGTGCGACGTCATGAAGTCTGAAGCGTACTAAATTATGTTTAGATTACTAAGTGTTGATCGATGAACAAGAAACATTGTTAAGTATTGGATCTTCGATAGAGAAAGTGTTTATTAAACGAATATAATAATCGAAATTGACATATTTCGTGTTTATTATTACGTTATTCCGTGAATCGTTTGACAACGAAAGGTACGTATTTACATATTATATACATATCCATATGTTGTATACACCGCAGGGCTATACGACCTACGTAATATATATTTAACTTGCCGAATTTTATCTACAACAAAATTATAATGTACGCGAAACCGATCTACTTTGTGTATTTGAAAAAGTTATGTTTTTTTTCTACCATTTTTCGTTCGATGAAACCATTTGTCATAATTTTTTCATTACATAAGTACTATTTAGTGTTTTACATTGACGCATTGAATTTATTATTAACATATTTATTGAATATAGTTTTCAACATTTATAATTGTCATTAAATACTAACCTAAGCCGGATATATTTTTCAACTGTTTTGAGCATGCTTTATAAAAATAGATTCGTTCGTTCTTAAATTTTTTATTGATTTTTTTGTGAATTTGTGAATTTGTCAACATTAAATGATTTAAAAAAAAATTTGAACGCTGTCGTCCGAACAAGGAACAACAATTGAAAACAAAGAAATTCCCCTATAATTTTTATAAAAAGACTTTAAAAAAAGGTTTTAGATAGGGGAAATTTCTACTTTTCTGCATGGACACATCGACGATAAACGATAAACGATAATCGTACATCGTCAACAAGATCAATTCGTCTTCTTTGTTCTCTGGCACTTGTCATTGCAGTATATGGGTGTCATATTCAGAGCCGTCCTAAGAATTTTTATGATCTGGGGCAAATTATTTCGGGGCCCCCTCAATAATCACAATAATAGTATACGAGTTTGATAAAAAAAATACACATTAAGTTTTCAAAATATTGGAAAATATAGTTTTTTAAACCTCAATCAATCTAGGTCAATTAAATACATCGATACTATGAATTACATTTTTAATAACTTTTCAAAAATATATTACCAGTTACCCATTAAAATTAAATTTATTCGTTAATAATTTATAAACAACCATTGAAAGTAAGAACTTGGATGTTTACGCATCAATAACGAATTTCTACGCAAATTTGAATAAAATTATACAATTTTTTACACTCCGACAATAAACATAATACATTAAATTACAACTATTTAGAAATTAGAATAAATGAAAATATAACCTGCGTAATACCGCTTAAATGTAAATTCAAGTTAGGTTTATTTAATTAAATGTATTAATATGTATTTTATAAAGAAAATTTATTTAGAAATAATATATTAATATCAATAATCTCTATTGGGTAACGCCGAATATATCCAATCAATTTGAACTTTAAGAGAGCCTCCTTTAAATTTACCTAGACTGGGGTCTAGGAAAAAATGGTTCCGTTGCTCTTATCCTTAATACGGCCCTTGTCACAACTATTTCGTGTATACTTTGAAATAAGTGCAGTAAAATGCGACCATATTCATGGTCCTCAGAAATGCGTGAAGTTCAAGTCCGGGTTTGTTTTTTTACAAAATATACGCTCCGCATTGTCAAACCACACCCATAAATTATGTAATATTTATTTATAACGAGCGACTTGCATGTTCGTTATGTTTTACGCTTGAATTATAACTACATAAATTTCATATAATTATCGACATGTACATTGTTGTATAAAGCGAATTATAGTTAATTATAGGTGTACTCAAAAATAATTCTTAAACACACGAAGTATATGTTTTGCCTAAAAGTTACATCGGCTATTGAACGCAATGTACATACGTAAAGTATAACGTATGTTTGGGATGAATGCGAGGAAAAATGTATGGGGGTTTTCCAAACACATTTTGAAAGATTGAAATTATTTTTTTTCACGACCCAAGTTGGACTTGATAAGGGAAAAAATCTGTAAACAATTACTAGAAATTCAGAAACAATATATTTTCTCATCGCGTTCATTTATTATATTATTTTTGGGACGAAAAAAAAAAAAATGTAATTAAGTTTATCATGTTTTCATTCTGAAGTTGCACGTGGCCTGAAGTGAAGTTACTACTCACGAGTCGACCTTTGCGTTTGTTAAACCTGGGTTTCAACACCTCATTTGATTGGGGTTTCCTTGAAATTTAGGGAGATCGAATAATCGAACACTCGAGCATATGTCGCCTATAACGATCTGTATGCGCGTATAATCTGCAGTACGCGGAGAGACTTCATTAACATGCACAAAACTGTTTTGCAGGAATGGCGTCGACAATAGTATCCGAAACAATTGCGGGATTGCCGAAGCAATTGGCACCGACGGATGATCAGTGGTCAACCACTGTTGAGCAGTGCAAGTTACCGAAAACCGTACGAGAAATCGCTTTGAAGGAGTTGCGGGAGGACGAAAACACGCGTGAACAATGTCTTTTGGCATTCCGACAGTGGATATTGAAAAACCCGGACATCCAAAACGTAGACATCGGTACGAAACACATTAATCAATAACAATATAAAAAATAATAATGATAGTAATATCTTTTGCACCTGTCAATCACACTCGTTATTATAACATAATATATTAATATTTAACGTTTAAAACGCGTACCGACATGTGGGCACAGCGCTTTGAAACGACCGCACAGACGATGTTGTTTATATATTTTTTTGCTCGGCGTTCATTGATTAATCTTAAACATTTCTATTTTTAATTCCTTTCGATCGATTCGACCAAAGTATGACATTCTTGCAACCGTATTGTACGCATTTTTAAAGATCACTGAAATAACGCAACATACGGTAATACTGACGAGTATCGTGACGACTTTATTTGTAACATTATAGCCCTGTAATATTTTTTTCTTTCTTAATCTTTTTCAATTTTACCTGCATACAATCGATAATATAACATGTCATAAATGACTAATAATCCATTTAAATTTGTCTGAAACATCGTACTCCTTTTGGATAACAACATAATCGTATGATATGATACATAATTATAGTATTTTTACACGTAATTTTACTACACGAAGTAATAACATATCAAGACTTTTGTTTGTTTTTATTTCCATTGGTTTTATATACTAAATAATTACTGTATAAAAATAATCAATATCTTTCATGTATATTTTTTTACGCATTATGTAACCTATTTAATTTCTTAACAATGCTACATATTGATATATTTCCAGAAAGTACGTTTTTGTTGCGATTTCTGCGAACCAAAAAATTCAGCTTGCCGATGGCACAACAATTGTTGCTAAAATATTTGAATTTACGTCAAAAGTACCCGATGTACTTCACGAATCTAGACTGTCTGAATCCAGCGGTTAACGATCTTATAGACGCTGGATACATGTTTGTATCGCCTTTTAGAGATAACCACGGCCGTCGAGTCATCATCGGTAGTGCTAGTAAGTATCATAGTTTAATTGACCTATGATTAATGGATACAATTTACCGATAGTTATGAATGTGATCAACTTTATTATAATCGTTTTTATAACTGTAAAATGGTTAAAAAAAAATCATTGAAATTAAAATTTTTTGAATTATCACTTTGAATGTTAAACAGAAATATATTACAGGAACTCAACTAAAGTAAATCGATTTGACTATTAAACCAATGCTTTTTTTTCGTATGTTTGCAGTAAATTATTATATGACTAATAATAATAAATATGACAATAGATTTTTAATATTTGTTTAAATTAACTATCCATTGAACATCCAGAGTTTATTTCTATTGAAATTTGATTTTTCTGTATAAAATATACATTTGTTCTCGTGCAATCAATACGCCATACTTTATAGACGTATATACTCATATATAAATATGTATAATATACCCATTTATTTGGATAGAGACATTGAATACTTCGCATTTCATAACATACTTATTATACTTAATTATTTAATTCCAAATATTATTATAATTAATATGGTTGCTTTTTTTATATTTACAACTTTTATCGTAGACAATTGTCGTATGCAAACATGTAGGTTATTTTTTACCAAGTCATACGACAATTAGAAACTGATTGTATTTTATTTTATTTGATCCACAGAAGGATTTGATCTCCAAAAATTTACTAGCAAAGACTTGGGTCTTACGCATATGGTTACCTACGAAACGTTGTTAAACGATGAAGTCAATCAGGTTATGGGATTCACTCATATCGGTGATTTAGCCTCCATAAGTCCAGCCTATATAACTCTGTTTACTCCAAATGAATTCGCCACTCTTATCAAGTGGGGAGAGGTAACATTTACATATATAACTTGTTTACTCTTATAATCAATTTTTTAATGATGTATTTTAATTGGCAGCTGTTTTATCTTAATTTTACGAAATTTATAACTGAGAAATACATACTTGTTAACATATTGTATGTATTATGATTGATAAAATGCGTTATTAGATAACAGATTTGAACAATTTTAATTTTTTATAATAAATTATATTCAAATGCCTATATTTATTTATTTATATTTAAATTTATGTCGATCGACTATTGACATATAACCAGAGCCATCGATAGGGGAGAGGCAACGGAACCATTCTGTTCAAGTCTCAGTATAAGAAAATTTAAAGGCGACTATCTTAAAGTCCAGATTGATTAGAAATACTTGGCGTTACTCATTAAAGATTATTGATATTAATATATTATTTCTAAATTATTTTTCTTAATGAAACATTAATTAATTAAAATTAATATAAATTAATATTTAAGCCCTACTATGTAGGTTATATTTTCAGTTATTCTAAAGTCTAAATACGAGTAGTTAAACTTTAATGTATTATGGTTATTGCGGGAGTGTGAAAAATGATTTAATTTAAATTTATATAATATCGTCTTGCCTCGAAATGATGATTGTCCGACAATTAATACTTCCGCAGTCTCTGATACTTGTTCGTTTTCGTGATTATAATGTAATTTAACATAATTATGCACACAAACATATATTTACATAACATATATATTACATAGTCCGCATAATTAACTATTACTTATAATAATATGCTATTTTATTTGCAAATAATTTTTTTTTAATTTTCCGACCATTTGTTGTATTCGAAATGATACAACAAACATGGCATCACACTCTTCTTGTCGAACGCTTCTATGTACTGCGTAAAACTTGATTGGAGAAAGTCTGCGAACAGAACTCAAAACGAATACTTTTACCTATAAAACGCAAATTTATTTTAAACCAAAGTATAAATAGTGGTCTCTCGTCTGTAAATAATGCCCGCTAATGATGGAGCAGCGTTAACAGTATACTATTTTAATGAGCCCCACAATATATTACAATGTATTATGTTATAGACTTTTAAACATTTAAGAAAAAATATACAAGTTTATGTTCATTATTTTAACTTGAACACAGAACGATATTTCATGGCGATTAATTTAATTGACGAATAAACTGTAATTATGTATTATTTCGATTGCTCCGGGAAGCGTCGGCGAGACATTGTAGAAGTAAAGAGAGTGACAGGGTACATGCTGTTAGATTACCATTATCTACTCCTATGGTATCTCGGGAACGATTTTCAAAAATAATTAAACACTGACTACTTTCCTTAGCTATCAAACAGCGTTATACTGGTCAAAACAATTATATTTGATTAAACACCATAGTATAGTTGTATCGTTTCAGTTAACGATTGGTTTTGATGTCATTGATTATTAGAACTATGGTTGTTTTTAGATTGAAAATATCATATACTTTATAAAATCGTTGATTGACATGTTAATCTTATGTGTACAGCAATCACTTCCTATGAGACATAAAGCAATACATTGGATGAACGTACCGACGCCGATAAAGTTTGCTTACGATTTCTTCCAAACAAGACTTAGCTCGAAAATCAACGGACGAATGAAGGTTAGCGCGTTTATCAATATAATATTGTCGATTAAACAGTCGTTTAAAAACTAAGAAAATTATCTATACTAGATTTTGGTAAAAATGACATTGAAAACGTACATCTTAAATCAATACGGTTGTGTGTTTGAAAATCTGTAAAAAGCATTGTCTTTGGAACGAACGAATTTTAATCAAGTGTTTTTTTTTTTTTATATTTTAGGTGTATAGTTCACTTTCCGAATTACATGAGGATATCGATAAAAAAGTTTTGCCCAAAGAATACGGTGGTGAAATGCCAATCGCTGAGATGATCAGTAATATATAAATTTAATAAATTATTAATATTATTAACAATTATGTGTGTTTGTGTTGTTAATATTATTTTGTAATTGTGTCACTTAGAACTATGGAAAAAGGAGTTGCTAGCGGGCAGGGAAAAAGTATTAGCTTTGGACAAAATGCGATTACTATCAGATAAAAATATAATAACCAGGAAAACGAGAACGGAACAAAATCAGAGCTTGGTCACCGGATTCAATCAGTTAAGCGGCAGTTTCCGAAAACTAGAAGTTGACTAATAGAGTATTAGTTTACATTTTAATTTTAAGAGTTAGACAATTTCAATCTATATTTTATGGTGGAAAAACGTCTGAGTATTTTTTGTTTTACACGATAATTTGTATAATAATTTTCATCGCTGTATATACATATTCATATACATATGCATTTTATATAGTTTTAAGTGTTTAATTTGAATTGTCTTATCTTTTATCAATAATATAAATTAATTATCACTATAATCATTAATTTTAACTTAAAATTCTAATCTACAAATTTTATACTTTTAAACTAGGCATTTCAAGTATGTGTGTATACTTTTATACTGATAAAAATTTAAAAATGTGTATAAAAAGAGTTGTACTGATCAACTTATATATATATATATATATATATATATATATATATATATATATATCAACTTATTAACTTATGAGATATAAGATATAAGCCAATTTTTTTTTTAATTTTTTACTGTTACTATCAACTAAACAATATTCAGTTCAACAATTATACTATACATATATATAACATAATATTAAGATAATTATAATAATGTGTACGCGAAATCTGAAAATGTATAAGACACTTAAGGGCAGGGGCGGCTTGTCAGGGGAGACTTTGAGACTGCGTCTCCCCTTAAAAAAAAAAATAACTACTCGTAGATAATAACTATTTCAAAATGTATAGAAACATTTATATTTTTATTGAAAATACTCGTATGTTAAAGCGTTTTCTATATTTATTATTATAAATTTATGGCCACAAAATATAAAACCTATAAATAGTTATTTGGACGGAAACACTATTTTAATAATTTCGACGACGGTCGCCGTTTCAGTGGAACAGGTTCAATCGTAACATGTAATGGTATGGTTTGTTGGACGGAGGGGACCGGGGAGAATAATCCGCGTATAATAGACGCTATTGAAACTGGGTTCATGACAATAATTTCCGTGCTATCACGCCGTCGTTAGTCGCTGTGCACCGCCATCTACAAATTTGCAGATAAAAAAAAATTGCAAAACTGTATTAATTTATAAATAAATTTACCATTAAATCAAGTTAAAAATATTAACTAAATATTAAATTAAGTATAATTAATTTTCCAATATAAGGGTTTTTCTTGTTCGTTGTTGTGCGGAGTTTAAGTTAGATAATTTAAGTCTCCCCAGAATATTTACTACGAGCCGCTACTACTCAAGGGTTAATTTTATAAATCGGTAGAAAATAAAAATAATAGATTTTTAATGTTTTATATTATGTCTATTAGACATTTGTAAAATGATTATCTTTTTATAATTTACTATTTCTCTGAGCACATAGTATGGAAGCAGCACGCCGTGCAATCGTATAAATCGTTTACCTCCTTGGACACCAATGCACGTGTTCAAAAATTCAGTTCGTAAAACGATCGATAACCAACGACGCACTGATCAGTAATCAGCATATTATTATAATAATTTAAAAGAAAATCGATGTAGTCACCGTGCTATTATAATTTACACCTATAGCAGCGATTTCCAAACTTTTTCAACGCATCACATTGTTGTTAGCTTTTATAATTCACGACACATTTTCAAAAAACATTGTCTGTTTGTCAAAAATAAGTACTTTTATTTTTTTAAAATAATAAAGTTCAAGTTTTCATGATATATCCTCGTACTCTATACTGACTTAGAGAACAATCAATTCTCGATTAGATACTGTTTGCCGTCATATTGACTCTCAGCTCCATACACACGTGGGTAATTTTAATCAGTTAAAAGAGTAGTGCTATAATTGATCGTATGCTTCTTGTGAGTTCTGTATCCATATTGAATGTATTCTCAAGACAAAAAAAAAAAAATCTTAGCTTCTGAGATCACTTTCGTCGCACCAATCAATCAGGATTCAAACTCGATGCCCAGGCACAATTATTTTATTATGTTTTATAATGTATTATGTTATTCATACCAAATCAAAAACCCACTCAGCTCCTCCACTATTTCGTTGCGTTGTAGTGCGTCCAATGTTAGAAGATAATAACAAATGATAATACGTTGTACGTAGCGTTTTATATAGTTAGGTAAACATTTTAAATTTATATAATAATTTGTGCGATAATTCGGTCAGTCGTATTCAACAAACACAAAGACGTCACGCTAACCGTTTCATTATTTTTTTTTTCTTTTTGTTAACCGAATAAACCCATAATACAATAACGGTTTTTACGGTGATCTGCGTCAACGGTTCTCAAACTTTTACAATCACGGAACCCTTAAAAAAACAGTTCATGTTATACTCTAATACTCTAAAAAATATTTTTAATAAACTGTTAATATTGTTGATGATTACTCTTTATTAAAATCAGTTAAAAACACAATTATTTTTATATAATATGAAATAATATGTTTTCCAAACATAATATAAAATAAGTTTCTAAATAATCACATACATCTGGCGGAACCCTTAGCATTGTCCCACGAAACCCTAAGGTTCCGCGGAACACACTTTGGGAAACGCTGATCTACGTAACAGTAGTAGTAGAGGTGCACTAATCGATCGTAACGCGTTTGAGTATTCTTCAAACGTGATTAGTATTCACCGATTACAGACGAAAAATCGAAAAGCGTTTATGAAATAATTGTCGGTACTGAAAAAAAAGTTTGAAAGTATTTTTCAAGGAAAAAGTTATAGCCATTGAATAATTAAATGTAGTATTGGACCATGAAAATGTTCAGAAAAATAATTTATGAACCCGATGTAATTATCAGCTTTTCATCTTCATATGTGACGAAAATAATAAAAGGATATTATTTTAAATGTTTTATATTTTCACTAGAATATTTATAATTATTTTTAAAAAAAACTAACAAACGCATATAGTCTTTATAGTTACGCTAGTTATAGATAAATTGAACATCCGGAACTGAGCATTTCAAATAGACTTGGCAAACCGGTATCAAGAAGATATATTTCTTGCCTCTCGCATATAAATTTACCGCAAGGAATGTTTGGCCTTATTTGCAATCTTCAGGCTCCCTTTTTTATTTTCATAATCAGTATCATCAATGTGTCTAATAACTCAAGAAATTACAATACAATTTTTTTTTAACAGTTTAGCCAAAAAATCGCTCAATATCGCAAACTTCACCCCTTAAAATTCGGCAAATTAGTGTTCAAGCATGTTGATGGTATCGTCTCTATCCAATCGGCCGGCTCTGCCCGGATTGAAATCGCATTTCCATCGACTACCACAGCGAACAACTCCTTAAATCTTCAATTCTATCTGAATTTAATTTGTCTGTTTCCATTCCATCTTCGTTGATGTACTCTTTCAGTGTGATACGGATCGATCCGTTATTCACGGAAGAGGACTTTTGGGACGGTGTTGATTCGCCGATTTGGTTTTAAAACATTGCGTGGGCAGCCAGTTGCCCATCCTTGGTTTATATGAAACAGAAAAAGATCGCTGCCCACCCATGTATGGTGCAGTTGATCGAAACAATAATTTTTTCGATATACATTTTACGCTCAGTTTTTATTATCATTATTGTTCATTGACGAACCCTCACATTATTTGCTTGTACGCGTGAGTAAAGTGTGTTCGATTTTTAGCCCAACAACAATAAGCAGATTTCTTGAACGACAGTTTTAACGGTGCGACAAATCGACCAATTAGGGAATATTCATTTTAGTGCACGTATACACTCATTAACCGTTAAAAATGATGTATCTATTTACACGTTTTACATGCGCATAATATGTTTTTTTTTAAACTAAAATACAATCAACACTTATTTACAAAGTACCTAAGAGCTTGTTATATAAACATTCAAAAAATAACTTTCACTCAGATATATATCACATATGCACACACTATTGAAATGATATATTTCCGAAAAATTTATACGCCAATATCAATGAGATGAAATAAAGTAACAGTGATGGTATATTATGTAGTTTCATGATTTTGAAAATAAAACCTAAAAAAGTTTAATTTTTCTTTTTATAGTAATTATCGACTTATAATTATTTTGAACATTTTCGTAATTTGTATAGTATATTTTCAATTTAAAATTTAATATTACTTAACATATGATATTTATATTTGTAAACGACGTCTGAATGTTTGGACTATGATAAGTGGTATTTATAGGTACATTACGAAGTACAGTAATGATTTTTATTTTTCTCCAAATTTTTTTATAATGTTATAATTCGTTTGTGAACGAGTTTTTATGACACTGCGCTGATGATACTACTCGTATTATACAAGGACTGACATTTGGACTTATATTTTCAAATATGTGCTAATTTATTGACTAAAAGATGCTAATGACCCAATTAACAACATCACGAGAAGAGTGCATATATATAACAAAGTAATTGGCACGTGTTAAATAGTTTCAATCTTATCTATATGCGGCGAAGTTTGTTTTTATACAATAATATACATGCACATAGAAGTTATCATAATATTGTTTGTATATCTAAACATAAACCTAATCTTTTTAAATGAAAATAATAAATAAAATAATATAAATATATTTTTTAAATAAATTTTCTAATTATTTTGCTTTTTTTAATCACAATACATGTTTTTAATTTATATGCTGTGGACGTTTAACTGAAAACTCGTCGCGAAAAAATGCAAATAATCAGCTGCACTAATTTTTTGTTTTACTTTTACAGCCCATTTAGGCCCTTTGCAGTGAATATTAGTTGCTTTCACTTTTTCTTGTTATGTGCATGACTTAGTCTTTATTTCACTCTGGTCTCATTTCCATTATGTATCTTCTAACTACATCTAAACCACTGTTGTTTCGATCGGTCTCATGGTATTTTCTTAATTATGTTGTTCACAAATAATGTTTTTGTTATACTGTTTTCAGCTCTCCATACATGGCTTGCCTACTCCAATATTACACATTTTATAAATTTGACAATATTTCTTTGGCTATCTTCCAATATGCGGTCTACCTCCGTTTTGTGTGCTACGTAACTACAAATATAAGTATAGTATGCGGTCTACCAATGTTATGTGTTCTACCTATAGCCGGGAATCCCCAGTCATTATTATTTACTATCCACTAATTTACATGTTTTATCTTAATTTTTCATAACAATATATATTTTATAGTGTAAAAATACAGATTATTGGGTTAGTTGGTTTAGTGT